CTTTCTTGTAAAACAGCTAAATTTTACATAAGCCCGAGTTTTATTTAAACCTTGGTTTTAAACAATTATTTTAATGGACCTCGAAGGTTTCCTATAAGTGCGATGCTTTTAAATCAATGTTTCCATGTGCTCTTCACAAAGACCACGTAACGGTTTGTTTTTGTAGTACGAGCTATTAATTACAGAATACAGGCGTTTATGGTTAAATTAAACTGCTTTAGAACGCACTTTTGCTAAACACTAGCTAAAAAATAATTTAATCAGACGGACTAAGCTCGAAGCTGTACGTGCTCTAACCTAGCTAGCTAAGTAATTTAAACGCAGTCGAAGTCTGCGATTGCTTTTCTCTCCCTGAAAATTCTAGAAACTTGTTTATACCAGCGCAGCATTTTCTGTACAAATTACATTAATAGCACTGATAAATGGAATCATCGACAAACAAAAGCCTGCTGGGCAAAGATCACCTAAAAATTCAAGCAAAATAGCGTAACGCTTGTTGGTTCTAAAACTGTGCTTCCAGTTGACACAACATTAATTCATTCCCTGTCTCATACGAAGACAAATCGTCGAGGAATGGATTCGTCCAAATAATTGAATAAACCACAACAGATACTCCTCAACGTCGCTTTAACAACTCGAGGACCGTTTTTTTTTTTTTTTTTTTTTTTTTTGCTGCTATAAAGGCTCTTTGGCTTATTCGCTTTTCGCTGAACGAAATCCCATCGCGATCGTCAGGTTGCGATAGCTCTTTCACACTCCTGTCGATCGCTTATATCGGGAAAAAATGTGCACAATTCGTCCACATGTACAACAATGATCCACGCTCAATTATTTCAATGTCCTTTTAACAATTCCAAGTCCATTTCTTGCAGATGATATTGTCAGTGTTCTTTAGAATATCTCCATTATACAAACTCCATCTCTATGATGGGTCAGGAAAAAATGTACGCTTTACCAGTACCCTCTAGAATATACGCCAAACATATGCATAAAAGGTACTTGGAACAAAAGTCAGTTACTAAGTAAGAGAGGTGAGTAAAGTGTTTAATCTAGCTTTAATGAGAATCGAGTGAGTGAGTGAGTGAGTTAGTGAGTGATCGAGTACCGTTCGAGTGCCTCCAAAAGCCCATGGCATGAATACGTCATCCATGAGCTACTTCCTCTATAATGAAAAGCATATTTAAAATCCAACTAGTGGTCTATTATCAATGCCGCGTTCTGATTGGTTGAGCTACTACTAGGCTATATGTTATAGCCCACTAGTAGCGAAAAGCGCGGGTTTTTTGGCGGCAAAAGAGTCTAGCTTTAACTAGCTAAATTTTTTTATTCTCGATATTTTTGACCAACTAGTTGGATTTTACTAAAACAATTATTTCTGTCGCCCTCATGGCCTCTGAGTCAATAGCACATTCGGCCTTCGGCCTCATGGGCTATTGACTCATCTCAGAGACCATTCGGGCTCAAGGAATAATTGTTAAATAATGAGCGCAGTTTGTTTATGTAAAATATACATATATTCCGTGTAGAAAATCGTCTATAGAATGTCTCGCGCATCGCTCAGATACTGTTCAGTATGTTTTGTCCCTGGAGTTTTGTCTCGCTTGCACGGCTTTCGAAGTTCTCTGGTGGGTGAATCTATGTTATCTCATAACTCTGGCCTGCAGAAGAAAGAGGCCAATGGAGGTAGTTTGTTTACAACTGAGAGAAATGAATTAAGTCTGAACTTGTTTCAACCAAACCGACATTCCCGCGGTGAAACACGTGTAAAGCAAAGTTGCTGACAGACCCTGACAGTATTTTCTCCTTCGTGTTAAAAGCTATCCGTGAACGCTGAGACGGATGAAACTGATGAAAAATAACTCTGCACATTAAAATAAGTCATGACGGAATTCATTGCTCTACGTGATCAATGGTCCAGAGAAATCATAGATAAGAGAGCGAGGAAAGTGCAAAACTTCAGTTGGTCGAGAACACGCAGCAGAGGCTTGAGACGAACCTTGGGGATTTCCTGAGAGAGGAATACTACTTTACTAGGACAGAAAGAAAACCAATTTTTCTGCAAGTGACCATCATGTTTAACGTAAGTAATCCCTGTTTCTTGCGACAGTTTGGATTTCCTTAAAGAGATTTCATGATCACTATTCTTTTCATACGAGGCTTGAAAAGGGATGAATGCGACCTACTCTAGACTAGGTATATGTTTTAATCCTAGCGGGGGAAAACATTTGGTTTCAAATGCGTACACTTGTATCAAACAGTAGGCCGGATATGTCGAAAGTTCCTTTTCTAAAAAGATAAGTATCTTCCACCTGAGGGACATCGCGATTGAAAAAGAAGTCATTTAGTCCCTAGTACTGGACCATTTGCAAAACAAAGTTCCAAAGACAGGTCGTTTATTTCAGCAAAACACACCATATATATATAGTCCTTTAAGTTCAACGATGATCTACAGGTGTATTTTTTTCTTTACATTTTCATTTTATAGAAAACACTTGTATTTGTGTCCAGAGGTTCTTGCCTTCTGCTATTTCTACTTGTATTAACAAGCTCCACTTCTGGAAATCCCTTATCCAAGAGTGAAGAGGTGGTACCTAAAAAGGTAAGTTGTTTATTATCTTATCGAAATTCCATCTCCGTTCCATTTTGCTTACTCCTCTACAGTAGTGAAGGAGGCTTCAATGACCACTAACCAATCAGATTGCAGGATTTGCATCATGTGACCGAATGAAACAATCAAATTGCAAGAAAAATTCAAAAATGATCATCTCGTTTCTAACTGGTCCATTGCTTGATTGACAGTTCACACGACCATTTTTGTGCAACTAGATTGGTCCATTTTCGGTCGCTTGAAGCAAAAAATGCAAACTGATTGGTTAGTTGCCACTTTATTTTTTCTCGTTTAACGCAGATAGTGGATTTTACTGTTCACGTTACGGAGTCGGGAGTAGAGTACAACGAAACGATTGAAGTGGATACACAGAAGCAAACAGAGGTGTTCAAAGTTCCTGCTCACCCTGGCGTAGATCGCAGTGATGTCATGCATGATTTTAAACAAGTAGGCTGATCATCTTTTAAATTTGTTAACAGTTGCGGTTAGTAGTGTAGCGACTCTGAATAGAGAGAAATGAAGAGAGGGTTTAATTTGAAAGGCCAAACCATAGGACTCTTTGCTTAAACTAATGTACGCAACAGGTTACTCTGGTGGCGAGGCTAAATTTTTCACGATGCAAAATACCATAAACATGATATACCTTTCTACCACATAACAACAATATGTGAAATATGTGTCTAAAAGACACAAACTCAGACCGTTTTTAACACTGTTTTCTGCAAACTTATTTTAGGTTACTATTTTACTTTGCCGAATTTTGTATATTATTTCTCTTTAACGCAGCCTAATCGGTAAATCGTTTATTTGTTGTCACACAATCCTTCTGTCTTTTTGTCTGCTTCTCTGCTCAAAGCTCCCTCCGGTCCTTTCCTCACTTTGATTTTTTTAGACCTTTAACTTTAGTTATAATACAGTGAAACCCCTATAAAGCGGACACCTTCGGGATCTTCCAACGTTTGTAAAAATGCGCAATATTTGTGAACAGTTAACATTCAATTGTTACTCTGTACTGTGATAAAGTTCCATGTTGTTAAGGAAGCTAAGGAAGCTGTGCTGTATTTTGTGCAAGACTTTTAGGTGAACTTTTATCGCGGATGACAATCATAGAGCCGGATATCGGTCTAATCTACAGTTTATGGACAGCCACGTAAATGTATTGATTTATCCTTATTAATCGACTACAGTACGTATTTCAAGGGCGTAATGCAATACTACTATTGTCAGTTCAGTCTGGTGTCCGCTTAATAGATGTTTTCAACAATAGAAATTAACCAAATACAATTTATTTTAGTCCGCGTCCGCTTAATAGAGGTGTCCGCTGAATAGGGGTTCGTTATAAAGGGAAATATTTAAGCAATAGACCACACTTTCACCTCTCTCCCCAGTCCCCCTCTACTTTTTATCGCTTTCTTTACTTCGCACCGCTCTCCACTATCTGAACGCTTGGAACAGGCTACACTTTCTATGGGTTTACCGGCGTGATAACCCACTTGCTTTTATAAATAACTTAAAGTTTTCTATGAGTTTACAGGCACAATAAACCATAGGTTTTTAACCAATCAGAACGCGCGTACTATCTCAGTTATTATATAAAAGACGTTAATTTAGGGACCCGGCTTAGTGTCCGCAACCCTGGGTACTGCAGAGGTTTTTTCTTGCGTTCGACGAGGAACTTCGTCGGCTGCAGGCTGAGTCAGTTGTTTTAAAGACTTAACCGAAACCGGAAACCGCGCATGAAAAGCCTCTGGCACGCAGGTTAATAGAGGGTGTGCGCTTAATTGAGGTTTCACTGTATCATTATTTTCAAAATTGATCTTTCCTGGCAGAAATTAACGCTGATGCGACTTCCGGACAAAAAAATGTGTTATCTGATGCCTCTGCCAAACGATTTATCCAAGCCAGAGAAACTTATTAGAGATCTTGAGAAAGTCGAGCAGGTGAGACTCCCAGGGCCGGACACTCTACTAATTGGCCCGCTAAACAGGATATCGTTTTCATGACCTTGAGACTTAAACAAATCATTTTCCGTCATTTATAAATGTCTAATTATTAGACTTTTTAACCTAAAATTGTTAACACAACTAGACTATAATTCCAGGTTTTTATCGATAACAGGAAACGTTCATTATCTAGTACTTATATTTTACTCTACCATTTCAAAGTTGTGTGTACACTGAAAGCTGTTGACATACTGGTCGCCCTGTTCCCCCTTAAAACACGGATGTAGTTAACATCTGTGGTACAAAGACTGAGGAGGTGAGACAGCTATGAAAAAACGAAACAACCAAACAAACAACAACAACAAAAATTGGTTAAGTGAATTTGACCGATATTTCGTATTAAAGGATCAATTTTAATACGGTACTTTTTTACTTAGCATTCAATATTTCACTGATCCAGATGAACCTTGCTTTTATCAGATATTTTTATAGTTTTCATAAATCTACGCTTCGCGTTGTTTATTCCACCAGGTTGTTATCAACAGTACCAAACGCATTGACAGCACATGGATTTTGAATGGAGAACTAACCGAACGGTCATTTCTCAGCGATGATTTACAGCAGTATTGCACTGAATTTCCGATATACCTAGTGAAAAAGGCGCAAAACTCATTGGCTGTAAAAGGAGTACAAGAGGCCGGTAAGAATCTTCACTCTTAGTTAGTTGTGCAAGAGAAGATAAAGGACCTGTCCTCTTGTGTATGTGGGTGTCAGGAGTAAAGAAAGAAGGATTATCATCATTATCCCCGGCGCAGTGTATATCAAGGACTGAATTGAGAATGTCAGGGTAAAGACGAGATTGGGGCGAAAAAGTCACGCGGCTATGCAAGTCAAAACTACAGGGGCCAAGTTAGCCTGCGTAGCAAGCGTTTCCGCGCGAGTTCGTCGAGAAAGTCGGGACGAGAGCAAAAAAAAAAAGGAATTTTTTTGCTCCCGCTCTAACTTTCGCGCAATAACTCGATTGGAAACGCTTGCTACGCAGGCTATTTACAAGTGTGCCCATTGTTTTCGAGTCTACAAAAAATGGCTACACTTGTAAATTACTCTTGTAGTGGTTTTATAAAATTGACCCAAGAAGGATCTAATAAGGGCACGTGATAGGCAACGCGTTTCGTGCTAGAAGCACAAGTGGGCTACAATGCGAGGTGCAGAGGAAAGGAGGACTAGGAACGGTCACCTTTAAATGCTGACAGTCCTGGTTGGCCCGGCAAAACTGAATTCTAAGGCTGCGTGGTAGGCGTCGAAACGGGTCATGGGGGAAGATAGACCATTTTCGATATTTTAAAATTCATTCTTGGCTCCGAGGCTTGGGGGAATAAAACAAAACAAATGTATTATTCATTATTGAGCCTCAAGATGATTTCTTTTGTTTTATTCCCCCAAGCCTCGAAGCCAAGCAAGTATGAATTGTAGTATATCGGAATTGGTCTATTGGATTTACTGCCTTTGACTGAGACATAAACAGCGTGAACGGGGAAGAGATGATGATGATGATGATGATGATGATGATTGATAATTATAACCCTTTAATTTTTGGCGCAAAATTTCAGCGTTTATATATAATATCACATGTGCAATTACAAAATTGCCATGGCAACGTTCCGTACGTCTCAGTGCCAAGATGGCGACGAAGTTTTAAATTGTTATGAATTAAGATGTCAGGGCATTAAAAGACGCTTGAGAAAACCTAAACACACGAAAGAGCACATCAAGAAGGACTCTAACAGGTATTTTATGGGAAAATTTTGAACTTAAGCCAAATTTAAGCTTTACACTTTTAAGAGCGTGGAGATCTCAGGATCAATACGATAAAACCAGGATAAACATGTCAAAATCCACGATGTCATTCATAATATACTCGTGAAATTAGGGAATAGTTTCACTCGTCTCCATTTGGTTACTTAGCAATTAATGAATGAGTTTGAGTAGGATATTAAGAGCCAATGTCTGTAATTTTCGAGAATCGGTTGACAGTCATGAATTTTTGAATTTCTTCATATTTTTCCCACATAATCTCTATAGTACACTTATTTCAAAAATCACATTAAAACTTGTAACGGCTTTTTATTTTTTCCTGAATCGGGCAAAGTTTGAAAAACGCCAAATCGGCGCTCTTTCGAGTATGAAATTAGCGAAAATGGAGCATTTTCTTCGCGCTCGTACATAAAAACGGGATAATATCTCTAAATGAAATCACGTCACGAGGAAAACACAGACTTGTACTTTATAATTCTGCAATTATCTTTAGACAAGCTGTTTGAATGTGACTGTGTTGGCCGCAAGAAGAAACACGATTTCGGCTCTTTTCAAAAATGGCAAATTTGACCTAACTTTACCATCGAAAAAAACAACTGATACATGGAATTTCAACATAAAACAAACACTATTTTAAAGCATATCCTTTGCCGTTTCTTGTGTTCAAAAATTTTTGGCGGCATTACAAAAGTGCGTCGCTGAGACACCGAAAAGTGCAGCGTAGTTTCGCACGTTGGAACGCTGAAAACAAGCTAGCCGCGAGTGTAGGCACACAAAAGTATTTGCTAATTTAGCTTGTTTTACAAGGGGCACATTACGGGAAGCTCTAAAAATCTTTTGAAAAACGATTTTCAATTTGATAGTCATAAAAAAGAACTAAGTAGATTAACACTGCATTTGATTGCACGCAAGTAGCTGAAAAAGACAACGTTGTTAAGTGTTAAGTTCTCATGGACTGTAAATATTGACTTCGAGTTTCTGCACCTAAAATAAAGCCGCTAGAAACGGCGTGCTAGCTCTAAATGGGATTCGACATCTCTAAGAATTACTTACCACAGTCGTTTCAACCGCAAGTGGCCGCAGTTTGCTGAAATCTTCCCTCGTTTAGCCTCGGACTAAACGCTGTGATGCGTGATGAAAGCCCGTGTGTAATTTGAGTCTGGTCACGCAACTGTACAGACAAGGATAAATCATCGCACGAGTGTACAATTAACACTTTTTTTTTTAGTTTTATATTTTATATTTCCAAAACATGTCGAACTAAACTTGATTTTAGGATGTCACCAGCCGAAACTCAAATGGAGAAAGAAAACAAATAGAGTAAGCCGAGTCTGCAAAACTTTTCACACTAGTTTTCTTTTATCAGGCACTAAGCCCTCTGTGCCTTTGCTTGTAATAAACTAATCTTTACCCCGCTTAACGTATAGACTTCTTTAATGAATTGAGGGATTTAGGTACACACGTATGCCATATGCAACATGAAGGTAGAGCAGGGAAATGGAAACGAGTAAAACTGTTTAAAGAAAATTGGCCAATGCTCCGCAAAAGAACATTCCTGAAAAACCACAAATCGAAAATGGACAATGGACACATTTGATGAGCGAAATACAAGTATTTAACATGTTTAAAGTACTGAAAGTAGTATTGCTTTGCTCCTCTTCAGCAAGGGCAACTTCTGGCGAGACCTCAATCTGCTGTTGAGGAATTGTACTGATCCCTCGCCCCCCGAAGAGAGGCCCTTAAAGGCCGGTCTACACAGTATGGGTTAGACCAGAATGCACGTACTCCTGAAATAAAAAAGTAGTCACCTGGCACTATCCGCCACTATCCCCCTGGCACTTGTTCGCAGGCTAGAAAATAAACCAATTCACTGACAAGTTCTTTTTCATAACGTCAAAGTCCGTCGCGTAAATGAAAAAATGCTTTAAAGTGCCTCAGCCATTTCACTTACTATCTTTCAACCAAATACGTTGCGGAGAAAAGAGATAAAAGCTGAAAACAGCCTTTCATTTCAATGCAAAATTTCAGACGGAGAATGCCCTTTTCCTAGGTCTGCACCTACAGTGACTTGTGTGCCAAAACTACTTCGTGGTGGTATCTCTCAGGCAAAAACAACCGCCTAGCGGAGAGGAGCGAGGCGAGAAGTCCGTGGCCATTTTCGAAAAGAAAAAGAAGTGTAAAGGCAGCACCTTCGTCGCTCAGAATACGTCTGCGTATATAATTTTCTTCAGGCTGCACAGAGTTATCAATTAATGTGCCTTTACAGACCCCTTTTTAAATGAGCAGCCAGCATGGCCAGTAGGCTGTTCTGAAACGGTACAACGTGATTTGTTCTCCGCCACCCGGAACCAAACATTTAGCGGTGGTGAGGAAAAAAACTTTTATTTTTATGCGCCAGTTTTGTGGATCAAACAAAGTCTGCTAGCTCTAAATGTAGTGATAAAGACATGAATTGTTGTATGTGTAGGGTTGATCCTAATGGAGAACCCAATGCCAACCAACCCACCCACCTCCTCCTCCTTCCCTAAAGTAGACTTTTCATGACGTTAGCATAATCACCTGAGACCTCTTGTAAAGTTCACTAAAATAATAGCAAACACCTTCGTAGCCTGTTCACAGACCCTCTACCTTTTCATTAGAGATCGTCGATCTATTTTCTCTTTGGAGATCATCGATTTTGCGCATGAAAATAAAAGCCGCGGGGGATTTATTGACCAGTAGAGCAAGGGGCTCTCTCTCGCGCGCTCGCTTCGCTCGCGTGCTCGTCTATTTTCGAAACGAAAGAGGAGTGTCAAAGCTGCACATTCGTCGCTCAGAAAACGTCTGCGTATATCATTTTCAGTTCAGGCCATACAGAGTAATCAATCAATGTGCCTTTATGGACCCCTCTATGAGCAGCCAGTAGGTTGATCTAGAACGGTACCACGTGATTTGTTGCACCGTTACCCGGCACCAAACATTTCGAGGTGGTGAGGAAAAACTCATATTTTCATGCGCCAATTTTGTGGATCAAACAAAGATCACCTAACGTAAATGCAGAAAACCTTACCTTTATCATTAGCATGGTCGGGTTGATGTTTGGTTATTGCCCTACATACTCACGTGACTAACAAGTCAGGAGCATACCAAGTGACTCACGACATCTTTTCTATGATCGAAATACATTCAGCATTACTGGGGCCACAGGCGCCACAAACCAAGTTTGAATATGTGCGCGATTCTATACGAAGATACAACAAAGACTTGCACCGTAAAACACTTATACCAGGAATTTCTTTTCCGGCGCGTTACGCGTCACGCACTTCCGGAATGTCATCTTCCCTCGTGTTGAGAGATTGAAAACATATACAAACTTAACTTCGATTCTGCCGTGATGCAGAATTTAGTTAGCGGTACTGTGACCCCGTCTAGCATTTAAATTCAGGTAAGTAAATAACTTTTCTGATATTAAGGTTTCAATACGATTAAAACTATAGCAAGCGAGTATTTCGACTATATTCCCCTCTACTAACTGTGATTTGAACTGCGTATTCGTCTCTTCATTATGGTTTATCGCAAAAATCAGTTGAAAGGAATCATGTTAAACCGAACAGAAACGCCGAAATATAATCTGAAACCGTTACAACTCTGACTGGGATTTAAATGTCGAAGTAACTTAGGTTTGCGAAGGATTAATATTCCAAGCGTTGAAACTTGCTTGTTGCACGCGCTTTCCTGGTGTCAAAATACCCTTCAGGTTTTGGTCTCTCGACGGTGCGCATTTGGAATGCCGCCAGAAACATTTTAACACAAACAACAGCAAAGGATATGCTTGAATACAGTTCTTGTTTCATATTGAAATTCCGTGTACCAACTGGGTTTTTACGATGGTGAAGTTAGGTCAAATTTGCCATTTTTGAAAAGTGCTGAAACCGTGTTTCTTCTTGGGGCCGGTACAGTCACATTTAAATGGTTTATTTAAAGTTAACTGCTGAATTATAAAGTAAAAATATGTGTCTGTTTTGTGACTGGATTTCATCTAGAGATATTATTCCGTTTTTATGTACGAGCGCGAAGAAAATGCTCCATTTTCGCTAATCTCATACTCGAAAGAGCGCCGATTTAGAGTTTTTCAAACTTTGCCTGATTCCTGAAAAAATAAAAAGCTGATACAAGTTTTAACGTGATTTTTGAAATAAGTGTACTATAGAGATTATTTGTGCAAAATATGAAGAAATTCAAAAATACACGACTGTCAACCGATTCTCGAAAATTACAGACATTGGCTCTTAAGAATTAGGCAGATCGAGGAGGGTGTTATCGGCCTCGGTGGATAACACCCTCCGAGATCTGCCTAATTCGGCTTTATATCCTACGAAAGCCGAATTCATTAATTGCTTTATTATTCATTCAAAGTAATTCCTAGTTTAAAAACAAGCTAAATGCTTAATACCTTCGTCGATGTCAAGTTCACCTCGATAGTGGATATTTAGAAGATAAAGGACTGTTCAGGTCTGCAAATATACTCCAAATTGGCAGTTGTTGTCCGTCGAGTTGTCTTCTTACTATGTTTTTAGACAGTAGTTCGTCGTGAAACGAGTAAAATGTTCCACACAATGTTCCTCCATTTTTGCTTTCACAACCAAAACAACTCAACCACGTCCCCAGGTCTTGTCGGTTAAAGATGCATTTACCTGCAACTGTGCTGCACTTTCGACGACATCGGTTGATTAATCGCTAAGTTCTTCCAAATTTGGTCAACAGTACCTGGTTCTAGTGAATTATGCGTGTGCTTTTAGCCAATAAGAAACGGAGAAATATTTTGAATGAATAACAAACATACTTATTATGGTCACTATCATCATTATTATCATTAATCATTCTTGATAGTAGTGAGCTTTATGATGGGTGTGTGGTAGATTTATTTCTTGCACAGGGGTCAACATGAGAGTGCAAATTGTTTGAACTATAAAACTTTGAAACGTTAAGCCTGCAAAATTGGGTAATGCTGTACATGAAGATAGTGAAAATAACAAAATAGCGGCTGAAAATGCGAAACGTTGCGCACAACCGAGTCTATCCCCATCAATATAGTTTTCACCTCTTTATGGCAAATTACAACAAGTCTACATGCGATATTTCGCAGTTTGTACCCCAGGAAGTACTCCTTATAATGACCTAAACGAGGAGGCTCCGCCCGAAAGGGGTACCTTTTTCGGGCTTCAGTTATATTAAAGGGCAGGGATTTTACTAGTTCAGTGAAGTATATGAAAGGGAAATGAAATCTGTCATTTCGGGCTAGCAGATGCATGAAAACATTTTAAACAGCGCAGCCAATCTCCAGTGACAAAAAGAGCCTCGGCAATATTTTAAACTGGCACTGGCTCACTCGAACAGGAAAGCACTTTGTCTTGCCATACAACATTGACAAAACACCGTTGGGAAACCAAATTAACCAACTGTTTCTCGATCTTTCGATTTTTTCCCAAAATATGACCCGTATTCAAAGTATAGATTGAGGGCGAGAGATCATCGTTCATCACTTCACTGTTTTCAGCCAACAATTCAAATTAATTCAATTTCCGTCTGGGAGGGGGGTAGTCTGCTACACAGCCGTTTTTAGTGTCGTCACGCAACGCTCCTCCCCACTAACGGCTGCTGAAAACCGAACTACATTCCTTTCCCGTGATTAGCCAATCATAATTCAGCTCCCATTTCCTGGAAGGTGTTCGCGCCACGTTTGCGGTACTATGACTCCTCCAATCACAGCTTTGCTTTTATCGGTGCCCCATGTGTGAATGACAGAATAATCAAAACGTCGCGTGAAAACAAGCAATTAACTAGAGTAGTGTTGTCGTAGTCGAGTCCTATTTAAAATTTAGGAGATAAGCAGCAGCAGCAAGCAAGTCGAGCAAATTGCGATGCACAACATGGATGTACTCATGAAGTTGCCAGGTATGGTTCGGGAAATCGCTCATCGATAATTTAAAAGATTGCTTTTTGAATCAGTACCCTTGAGAGTTTAGTCTTCACAGGAACACAATGAGCACATCCGGTACATTTAAATTCTTCATTACATATCAGTACATATGTACGTTAAATGAAGAACCAACCGATCCTGGTAAAAGTCTTCTAGGCCTGTCAAACCTTTTTTTCACTTGGAACTTTCTTAACCGCTTAAAAGAAACTGTTTTGCAAATTAACCTTTTCGTTTGTGGGGAGGAGCATTGCGTGACGACACTAAAAACGGCTGTGTAGCAGACTAGGAGGGGGGTTGGTGTTTTGCCGTTTTTTGCCGTGACACTTCTAAATGAAGCATACCACAAATACATGAGCTAAAAACAACAACAGTACGGTCAAACAGTACTGGACACAAGTTTTAAAAATAAGAAAGATGGCGGCCGAGTCGCAGAAAAATGTTTTTTGGCTTTCCAAGACGTTTTCTGGAAGTTTTCTTCTCGCTGTCTACCCCTCACGGGTTCAGGTCAAATTCAAATGAAAACAAAAAACCCAGTTTTTATCACAATCCTTGGTTTAAAAGACTTTGGTGGTTTTTAAGGCAGACGAGAGATGTCACGATTTCAGGTGGTACCCTTCGCAATTTCTGCAAACTTTGGTTTTAATCTTTCCGTGAAAGTCTACGCACGTGAAAATCCACACAAAAATGGCGAATTTCTGGTTGGTTTTTACCGCAAAAAAGCCCAGTGAAATTCGATAAGCTGGCATTAATCGAAGCTAAGATCTTGAATTTTTTGTTTCTTGATATTTATATTCCGGTGGTACCCATTGAGAATTGGCTACTAGTAACTCACAATCAGAGACAAAAAACTCTCAAAGTCGCTTCAGTTTTATTATTCCGCCATAATCGCGGCTCGAATGCGGCTTGGGCCTGTCAAATTCCCGGATGTTACTGGGCATTCTACGCGACGAGTGAGTTATCTCCATCTTTGTGAAATACCCTAAGCTTCTCCAAACTGAAAATTTTATCGGTGTAGGTTGTTTTGAAATTGTCATCCCTTCCTCAAAATTTAATTTATAGTCTGATCCAATCCCCATTTTTAAACACTCTCACACTCTGAGTGTCTCAAAAACTCTTGCAACAAAGTAGCGCAATTCTCAAAATCACCAGTTTCTTGCCGTTGACTAACAAGACGATTAGAGCAGCCTGTCCTAACCTGCGAACCAAGATGTATTTCAGTTTTCGGGCAGTGAGTAAAGACAACTGCAAGTACTGCTGTGTTCGCAGGCTAGACCCGGCTTTGCTTCTTATGCCCAATCTATTCTTGTGCAAAAAATGCAAATTTGAAGCTAATATGATGATCTCGAAACCTTTATTTGGGCAATTTAAAATTAAAACCTTGGATAAAATTGAACTACAACATATACGCATCGCATACTTTGTTACTTAATCTTGAGAACTAACGTAAGACCGAGGTTAAAGGATTAAGAAAAAGGTCCAATTAGTTTGTAGTGAGATGGCTAAATGCAAAAGTTTAGAGCTCTTGAAAAGAATATGAAATAAAAGTTTCTTCTTTTGCAGAGACTAAAACCCGTTTTCGAAGACAGACAGTCCATGGTAAACCAATCTGTCCAGGTGCAACGACCCACTGGGAGGCTTCCTGTTTTACACCTCTACTCAGGTGCACATCAGGGTCCACATCGTGTTTCAAGTATGTGTCATGTCCAGACCACCCTTACATAAGAAGGTCCGCCAGAGGATTGTATCAGAGGGTCACCTTCAGAAAGGACTGCATAGAATTTCACGAGTTTGTTAGAGTGGCTAGTTGCTGTGGCTACTATTGCTGAAACACTAATCTGCCAGTTGTCTTGGCCGGCTATCGAAAATTTACCTTACTGAATATGAAAAGTAGGTTGAGTTTGATCGTCCGGGTGAACGTAGTCCTGAATAGGACTGTTGTTGTTGACAGTGAAAGACGTTTCGACAACCTGTGCGGTAGTCATCTTCAGAGCCAAACTGAGTTGTATCACGTCAGTTGATGGTGTTATACTCTGGTTATTGATCTAATTGGAAAATTACGTTGTATTGGTCGTCTGTCAGTTAAGCCGTGATGTTATTGGCTATGAAGACTCGCAATCAGTATTTGGTGCGTTTCGATCCGTCTGTCTATTGTCACAGTTAAACAGTCTTCTATTGTTAGTCAAATTGTCAGTTCTCCAGTCGTTCTCTCGTAGATAGTTTTGCTTGATCTCGTCAACAAGTCGTTTGTACGGCGCTGGTAACTGTTGATTACGATTCAGTGACGTTTGTTCTAAGTTACGAAACCAGCTTTCTAAAGTAAGACGTTGATAGTAGTCTGTAGAATACGTTAAACGTGTCGCAGAGTCCCAGTCAATTTGATATTTCGTCTGTAAATGGTGCTCAGCAATGTGATTGTTGACGTCACCATTCCTCGTCGCTCGTTTCTGTTCGGTCAGTCGCGTGCTAAGGTTTCTGCCGGTTTCACCAATGTAAGAAGCTTGGCAGTCGCAGCATTTGATCTTGTATACTGCTCCCCGTCTGTCCTCCGGTTTGTCTTTGTCCTTGACATTAGTAAGCAGTCGTCGTAAAGTGGTTATCGGTTTGTGTACAACAAGTATATTGTAAGGTTGTAATATACGAGCCATAGTTTCAGAGGTGCCTCTGATGTACGGTATAGTCGCTGTCGTAACAGGGCCAGAGTTGACGTTGGTCTGAGTGTTGGAATCGGTGTTACTGTGAGTGTTCCGTCTAGCAAAGTCCGTGTTGTAATTGTTCTTAATAAAAACGTTGTTAAGATAATCAGTCTCGTCTTGTAGGCTGTCAGGTGAGTCGCAAACTAGTTGCGCTTGTCTCGTCAAAGTCCGGATAGTAGTAGCCTTGTGAGAGGTCGGGTTGCACGAAGACTGGTCTAGTAGACGGTCGGTATGTGTCGGTTTTCTGTAAATAGTGGTTTGTAGTTTGTTGTTGTCGCGAGTGACCAAGCAGTCTAGAAAAGGTATCTTACTATTTTCTTCGATCTCCTTGGTGAACTGTATGTATGCGTTCTGTCTGTTAAGGTGTTCGTGAAAATCGTCGATTCCGTCTTTGTGTACGGCGGTGAATGTGTCGTCAACGTAACGTAACTAAAGAGGTGTAGTTCGCGCGTGGGTAGCTAGGGCTTGTTCCTCGATCTTTTGAATCACAATTTCTGCTACAACAACAGAAACTGGAGAGCCCATAGCTATACCGTGTAACTGTTTGTAGTGTTTACCGTTGTACTGAAAGAACGTCGAAGTCAAACAGAGGTTGAGTAGGTCCATAATGTCGTCTGTAGGTTACTGATTACGAGTCTTCATAGCCAATAACATCACGGCTTAACTGACAGACGACCAATGACATCGCGACGTAATTGACCAATTAGATCAATAACCAGAGTATAACACCATCAACTGACGTGATAAAACTCACTTTGACTCTGAAGATGACTACAGCACAGGTTGTCGAAACGTCACTCACTGTCAACAACAACAGTCCTATTCAGGACTACGTTCACAGGGACGATCAAACTCAACCTACCTGGGTTCAAACCTTTCACAGTTACTGAATATGGATAAAATTAGTTTTAAGTTTGGTACACTATAAAAAGGATACAACTATAGGTTACGTCACGAATCTGTCCGCTAAATTTATTAGCGCATACAAACTTCCCAGATGCTGGGACTTCCATATCAAAGAGAAGCGTATGCTCGTCGGAAAATTTGAATTCAACCCCTAAAAGACACCAATCTGGGATGGGCTTAGGCTTTATTTTACCCCTAAAGATCAACCATACTCCAACTCATTATGACGCCGTTGGTTTCCTTTTTATATGGATATGCTAACTGAGAACTTCAACGCCCTAAGCGAAATGACGAGCTTGCTCGTCACTTTCATATGGAAGCACACGCCCTCACCCCCAATACCACCCATATCCCCACCCCACTTGCGTTTGGATAGATAAATCGACTATGATCACAGGTCGCCCAGGCGAAATATGAGACTGTATGGCGAAATTAAAGATCAATGTCAGTATTTAATTTACTGTCAGGTCAAATGATGTTATACCGCTGAAATCGCGCTGAAACTTCGTAGAAAGACAATTACACCAAGTAACAATATTTACACTTTACTGATAACTTATTTTTGGATGTTAGTTTTATTCAGTCCCATGCAAACTCTCATTTTACGCTTGGCAACCTGTGCTTTAATTACATATTATGACCTCTGTTATTAGCCAATTTTCTGGTAATCTATTGTTGTACGCCGCTACCACGCGAGACCGATGATTTATATGTTTACACTGTGTTAAAAAACGTTTCCTCTGGGAATTGCTTAGGGTTTGTGGACGAACGTCGTAGCCACATACAGTACACATGGGATTAGTTTCTACAGGAGCCGTTTTCCTGTACTTAAAAAACATTACAAATACATAAAAGCAGAGTTTAGTTTAGACAGTACATACTTAGTAAAGGACTAAAATGGTGATACTTTTAAAAGTACAGTACTATACCATGCAAGATGTAATGTAATATATACATCTTTTCTTACCTTTACTTATTTTTAAACATTTATCATGTCAAGTAGTCTCAAAATTGTGTCAATTACTTCGATAAAGCTAGGTGGAAAAAATGTTTTTATATCTACTGTTTTGGTTTTACGTCAGGCCTCGAAATTGCTGCACATGCTTTGCGCTTTGCTTTTTTCATTAAAATGAATGAATAAAAAAAGTTCTTGAAAATCAGAGGACATTAATACACCCCCTGTGAAATATGCCGACTAAACTCTTCAGACAAAGGCTGAGCCAATAAATTCTTATTTTTATTTAGTGTTAACCCAAGGAAGACTGGCTACGTTTTCCATACAACTCAGTTCCCGGGGTATTAGAGGGGGAAGAGGGGCGAACGAATTTGCTTGTATGCGGTCGTCATCTTTGATGTTATCACTGAGGCTCTAAAGCTTCCCACGAAATTGATAACATTGCTCTTTCATGCTGTTTAGTCTGGTTTAGTTTGAATGCCTTATAAATTCAGATACCCGATATGGTGTCGTAAAGATGTAATCGCATCCTTTCCATGACGCCCTGCGCTCTTTGTCTACCGCGCGTAGAGTCACCTGGGGACGTGGTGCGAAGGTATGTACTACGATAAAAGACCTTCTTCGCCAAAGCTGGTCATTTAAGCAAGGATCGCCTTCAGCCAACTAGATCGTTCGCAGTTTTAACTACCGAGATCTCACTGGTAACTAACTAGTAATAGTTGACACTACAGCTGCCCCCGCTCTGTATATTGTTGGTCAATAGTATTCTTGCTCGTTGTGTAGCTCCATGCACAGTTTCGGTTCGATTTACACAGCTTTGATCAAAACATTCTCAGTTTCGAGAATAGTTTATTCTAAACCATAAGAAAAGATTTAATTAGAAGTTTAATTTTTCGCTATTTCTTTTTCACTTTTTACATTTAGTTCATTTTATTTGCCGGAAAGTAAGCCTTAGAAATTAAAAGGACGTTAGATCAATTCACGCCCGCGCATTCTAGTCTTATTTTAAACTTTATAGCGGAAGGACATCTGTGAACAGGGAATAAGTCAGCACAGAATCTGATGGTCGGCGAATTTCTGTAATCGTCCATCGTTCTGCTAGTGATAAGCTAGCCGTTGAATCATTCACTCGTCTTGCTTGTTTGGGGCCGTGTCTTATTCCCGTCAAAGAAAGAGAGAGAGTGTCTGGCAAGGTTTCCAATCAAAGATTTGTGAACTCGTGTCTGGCAAACTCACTTAGTGTAAAAATATACACTGTTATACGCACCTTATAACTTCATCTGCGCTTAACGAGTGTCTTTTGGTCCATAACTTTCATAAGAACTGCTCCACAGAATGTCACTGATAATACGTAACGCAAAAGAGTATCGAAGTATGACTGCACAATTAATGTCACAAAATCTACTCATTGTAAACGGTCCCTGCGGGATTTTTTGTGTTTTACGTCATCCTAACCATTTCGTACTTGCGGGCGCAAACAATAGAAACGTCATCATTACCTATCGATTCCTCGCAGCACCTGTTCAAGCAAATCGAGTTTTTTTCTAAATTGACTGTATGACTGTATATTTCAACTGTAAGTACTTTCCTCTTTCATGACCATCTTTCACCTTTCACCTTTCAACTGTAAGCATAACTTTCAACTTTCAACTGTAAGTACTTTCCCGTGCCTCCTCGGGATTTCGTCTTCTGGGCGAAATACCTGCGGGGGCAATTACAGCCAGACCGAACTCCAACCATCAAACAATTCCAGTTTCCATGCACTGAACACTGGGGTGTACTGTTCAGGGTTGCAGAAATGCTCTGCGGCCAAAGGTCACCAGAATCTAATAGCATGATACAGAATGTATCACTAAACCGACAAAACTAAATTCTCTGCGTTTTCCTGGTCGTAACAACATTAACAAAGACAGGGTTCCACTGTACCATGTTTCTATTTGTTTACGTACTACGCAAGATAAAAGTTCAGCTTTATTTTTCAGTTTCCTCCAATAGTCACCAGCTTTCAGTCTAAGGCTTCATGAAAGACTTTGTTTTTAAAAGACGCAAGATAAAATACCGTATTTCCTGGCGAGTAATACCCGTCCCTCGATTAATTGCCTCCCTCGAATAATCCCCCCCCCCCCCTTGGACGGAAATATTTAAAACAATCGTCTTCCCTCCGTTCCTCTCACTTTATTAGGGACCGATCGTTTATTACGTCCCGGGGGGGGGAGGGGGCTGTTGGGTTTTCAGAAAAGTGTGGTGTATGAAAACTGTACCCCCCTAAAATAATTTCATATGAAAATTGTACCCCCCTTGGCGACAAGAATTTTTAAAATGCACCCCCACCTTTCCTACACCAAGGGTGCTTACCATTTGACAGAAAATTTCGAAAATTCCGGATGGAAGGTAAATGGTAAGGTCACTTTTCGGAAATTCCAACCGAAAATTGAGGAGTACGTTTTGAGGTAGTCCGTTCATTCCGATTCGTACAAACCAAACGGGATGTTGCTTACCATTAACCAATTTCTCGGTTCCTTCTCGGTTCCAGACTCACCCTACACAAATTCGCCCTTTTTTTGGATTCAAACCGTAGTGGATGTAGCAATTCTGCGGTAAACTGGTATATCGCTTACCATTATGCTTTCGACTCCCCGGACGGATTTTTCTGTCAAATGGTAAGCACCCCAAGTTTTAAGATGACTCGATTTTCTCTCCTTCTTTGGACATTGACTTCATATTAAAGCTAGATGGGGTTCTGGTAGTCTGGTTAGGTAAAAATAGTTGATAGGGTCCTGGGACAAGCTTGCTTACATAGCATTCAAAATGGCGGCTACCAAATCAAGTAAAGATGCACGTCAGGTGGGGCTCAGCTGGCATGAGAAACGGTGTGAAGTCCGAGAAAAGTCAACGAAGGGAAAGTATTTTAGATCTTCACTCCAGTGTCTTGATAATAATGAAATTTTGTTATTGCTGGAGTCTATTCTGCAGAGGTCAAAGCAAGGGACGCAGAGGAATTGTACAGTTCGAGGTCGGAGAGCAGTGCAAGAACATCTGATGCATGGATATGGATAGTTACATTTGGAAGAAGCCTACAATCTTTATTCTATAGCCTTCAGGGATAAATTGCTTAATCCTCATCACGGTTTGCCTGTCTACAAAGAATCGTCAGCGCGCCTTTTTGGTTTAGTAATTCAATTATGATATGTTTTAACAACTACAACCACAGGGTCCAGAGGAGTTTCGTGTGAATAAATGAATTACTTACCTTGAAAAATGTCTATAACTGTCGCTTAGCACGATTAATTAGCCCAATGGGATCTTTATAAATCTACTGTAAACGATTTCTTCGCTTCTTATCTGACCCAGATCGACTTTTGAAAATCAATAACCGCAAGCCATATCCTCGCTGGCGCACGGCACGTCGCCCGAAGGGTGACCGGAGGGCTACCGAGACACGAAGTGCCGAGTAAAAGAAAGGACAAGGGAGGAAACTTGTACCACGTGACTTCGTTCTCCGTGAACCGCAGCACTCGGTGACGGAAGTCGGAATGAGACCGGAAACGCAAAAGCAACAGACCGCTGCTAATTCGAGAATCAAAACATCAGCTGCGGAGAGAGTTTTAAAGATCTCAGAGATCTATGCGAAAACAACAGAGTTTTAATTGAAGTGAAGATCTTTTAAGACTGGACATTTGTTGTACGTTTCAACAGTCTTCGATGTCTTAAGCAGGTTTTGCTTGTGCGAAGGCTTCCCAGTAGTCGCAAAACGCACAGCCAAAGACGCAAGAGGTAATATAGTTGGACCACCGAAGAATGACACAGTCGTGATGATATTACAGTTGCCTTGTACGCCCGCTCTACTCAGTGTCACTTTTTATTGCAAGAGTACACACGACCCATAAATCACTATCCGTAATAATTTAACATTCTCCAAACAAAACTAACAAGCTGGACCCAGCGCGATACAGCATTGAAGAAAAACGTTACATTCATGGACTAAAGAAAATCGCTTAGTTATTCAGATCCAGAAGGCACTTTGGAGAAAACTGGAACCCTTGTTCAGCCGTAATAAAAAGCTTTACGCTTCAAAAGAGGTCAAAGAAAATGCGCTTGCATCAGAGGGTAAATCCTGCCGACCAGAAACAATAACCACAGTAAATCGATATGTGTCATGACCTCTCAGTGTGAAACATGCGGCTAAAATCCCCGCTAAAATCACATTTGCTGTAGAACCTTCCAGAGCATAATCTACCCAGCAGAGGAAAAAACTTTATTGGAACGAGCAGCATTTTGGCATGAGGCAAAAGTCGTGTAGGCTTCCCTTTTATTGCTTCGATCTTGAACACATTTACTTTACTACGTCATTTCTGTCACCATCTGTCGCGGTGCACACCGAACGAAAGCGCTCTCTAGAAGCCGTAAATTTCGGTCGCCGAAAATGAATTTGAACGCTATCTTATGCCGTTTTCCTACAGTATTTGGCAAATACATAAGAATTCTAGATCAGGTGAGTAAAATCAGGTGATTTCATTCAATTCCATTTGGGTTTCAGGGATTCGAAAATCGGCCCCTAAAACCGTAACGCGATCAAAATAACCCATTTTTTCAGAGGTTTTCGACGGGTTTTGATGTTCTAACGACAAACACATCTCCTCTGGACCCTGTGCTACAACATATAATGTCAATCCTGTGTCTTAAAATTTCGACCCCCCTCACACTTTGTACATTTTCAAAACTGACCCCCCAAAATTAACCCTTTTCAAAAATTGTACCCCCCACCAACCCCCCCCCGGGACGTAATAAACGATCGGTCCCTTATCTTCCTTTTTATCCCCTCCCTGTCAAGTGTAAGTGCAATGTGATCCAGCAAGATTCAAGCTATGAAAATTAATCAAGGAACTAAATGTGGAACCGAGGTAAATATCCACTACTAGCCACCGACACTGGGGTGAATAATCGTTTTGTACTAAAACAGTGAGATAATTGAGCACAAAACACAGGAAAAAATAACGGATTCCCATCTTTGGATATTTTAGGGTATTTAAAGAAAGCGAGAAACGCTGTGGCTATATGGCCGGTAACCGGTCAAGGTTTTCAAAACACTAAATGGCCGGCAGTCTGTTATTCTCGTAAATTTCACAAAATCGAAAGATTCCAGCTAAACTAAACTATCATATGTCGATTAAGAAACGTCAAGCGATCCTGAAATGCTTTACAGATCTCAAGTCTAGTGTTTGGTTTGCGCTGGGCTCAGAGGAGGAAATCATGTTTTGTGACGCTTAGAAATTTTTTCAGCTCGACTGCCGGTGAAGGTTTTCAAAACACTAAATGGCCGGCAGTCCGTTATTCTCAGTAAATTTCACAAAATCGACAGATTCCAGCTAATCTAAACTATAACATGTCGTGATCCTGATCAAACCAGCCGGTTTTGTGGGATTTCTATACCATATTTTTGTTGGTCGCGAGTCTTTGCATGTTCGTGTGTCACAAAACATGATTTCCTCCTCTGAGCCCAGCGCAAACCAAACTCTAGACTTGAGATCTGTAAAGCATTTCAGGATTGCTTGACGTTTCTTAATCGACATATGATACTTTAGATTAGCTGAAATCTTTCGATTTTGTGAAATTTTCTGAGAATAACAGATTGCCGGCCATTTAGTGTTTTGAAAACCTTGACCGGTTACCGGCCATATAGCCACAGCTAAATCGACATATGATAGTTTACATTAGCTGGAATCTTTCGATTTTGTGAAATTTACTGAGAATATAGACCTGCCGGCCATTTAGTATTTTGAAAACCTTGACCGGTTACCGGCCATATAGCCACAGCGTTTAAAGAATACCCATAAAAATCCCAAATTTGGCAAAGTGAAACAAGTCCCAACCAGGGAATTCCCAACCAAGTTGCCTGATTGGGACTTGTCTCACTCTTCCAAATTTGGGATTTTTGTGGGTATTCCTTAAATATCCTAAAATATCCAAAAATGGGAATCCGTTATTTTTTCCTGTGAAAATGATGATTTTTAACTCATGACTGTCGCCAACGATTACAATTTTGGCGCGCGATGACCGAACAGCCGCGGTCGTCGCTTTTTCTTGGAGGCGTTCGTTTAGCTCTTGCGGGGAAGTTTCTTCAAAAGGAGTTGTGAATTCGTTTTGTATTTAAAATCATTCTGTAAAAAAGACTATTAAATTTAGTTTTAAGCTTATTTATGAACAAGTCAACTAAATAAAGTAACGCAAGACTTAAGCTTAATTTGCATTTGTAAACAAAAAACTTTTTCACTGGTTTTATCGATAAATTCAAGTCAAAAATACAAAGCTTTACCTGTTGGTAAAACTTCCAAACCAAACTTCGTTACCTTCTTCATGTATTTCGGAAATAGCTCGCTTGATTAGTTGTGAAATTTCTTAGTTTGTTACGGCAAACCGGGAAGGCATTTTGCTCGCAACTTACGCGGGTTTGGCGTCGCTCGGTCGGAGGAACTGGAGATGAATCAGTGAATAGTGCAGGATATCTGCAGGATATTCACTGATTGAGTAGCCAATCAGAGCGCGCGAAAAACACTATCCACTGTTTTGGTATAGACTAAATTCAATTAAACACATTAGCGTGGAGTTACTTAGTAATTTGTCGAAAGATTTGCGTTTTAAGGACAGTTAACACTAATGGCAGAACTTAAAAACCTATTGTAATATTGTTCGGGCGAGGCTGTCATTAAGGTCGAAATTCCTAATTTCAAACAAAAATATCCTTAGATTAGTGTATTTCTGTTTTTTTTTTTGGCTGAAAATAGCCACAAAAGATGGGTCACGTTCAGCCGAAAAAGAATAAACAAGCCCGTCAACTTTTCGAGTACAATAAATTGTCAAATCCAGTGATACACAAGATCTGGTCACTTGGCGCCGAAAGCTATATTGTGGGCTAATTTCACAAACTCCTTCTTTCTCTCGGCGATCAGACTATCTGGAAGTATATGACTTTGCATAATTGCGTAAAGTAAGTGAAAGAGGAAGGAAAAGAGAAAAAAAGGTGCAATAGCGATACTAGCCAGCGTCTGATTTGAATAAAATTCTCACGTGAAAAACAAAGTTCAGAAGCATTGTATTTCTATAACTACGGTTAGTACTGCGAGGAAGATTTTTGGCAACGATATCAGATCAGGTGAAAAACTTAAAAGGAAAATGTATTTTTGACGCGTGTCACCCATTTAACTGTATCGGAAGTCTTTAACTTCAAGTTAATATTCTTTTTACAAGCTTTTAGAAGCTAATTTTTAAAGCCAGAGATAATGAGCTTAGTCAGTGGTGCATGGAGCCAATTTGGCTTAACGAATAATTAGACAACAAGTCACCGAAATCTTACACCAGTAACAACCCTTTTGACTTAAACTCAACATAACAACGATTCCAGTGTTTTAATACCTTCAATAAAAATATATAGAAAAAGAGAAAGAACACAAATGCATTTCCTTAAAAATTTCTAACGAACCGTTCATTTCAAACGCCCGAGGGGAGGGAGGGGCACGTGAAAATTGTGTCGGCCTGGATCGTAACGTTTACGATTCCTTGGGATTTACATGGGGCATCAGAGCATAGTTACGTCTCCCCACCAATTTGCACAAACTGGTTGTTTTTTTCATCTTGTTCTGTCTGAATATGCCAAACAATCCCAAAATTTACTTTTTTTTTATGATTTTCTTCTCTACAACCTGCAACCTTCAATAGTGACGTAAACTAGACAAAGATAACAAGGAAGTCAACAAAATATAACCCAACCCAGAGTTCTATCTTTTCTTTCTCGCGGCATGAGAGAGAACCCTGCAATTGAGAGCTTGAATCTAGCCCAGGAAACTTTGCAAACGATATTACAGTCTAACCTCTCCTTACGGACACCTCTATAATACGGAAACCCCTCTATTACGGACAGTTTGTTTGATCCCAGAAATGCCAAAAATCATACATTCCCTACGTTTATATTATGGACACCTCTGTAAAGTGGACAATTGGTTCTGTCCCTTTGATGTCCGTATTAAAGAGGTTTGACTGGTAATTTAGATCTCACACCTCTCCTCAGTCTCTCCACATGCGCAGACTTTGTTCAGCTCTGTCGCCTAGGAAATTTGCAACTACAAAACAAAGAAATAAGAATGACAAAAGAATAACTTCATAGGTTCTTGCACCAATTATTAAAAAGGAAAACTCACAATCTTGGCTTTAATGATACCGAGGTAAAATTTACTGAAAATAAAGCCTGAGGGAAAGTAATAATATTCAATGAGTAAGCGTTTTAAAAGGGCTTCTATTTTTGCTGCAACGGGGTGATTACAAAAAGACAATATGAGAATTGCCACTGAAGCCTGACCACTAATGTCTGAAACGGATGCTTCCGTAGTCATGTTTGAGCTTGTTTTAAAAATTAAACATCTACAGTCACTCTGTATCAGGCAACAGATTTCTAACAGTTGTTGGCCGTTTATGAACCATACTTGGAGTAAAAATCAGGAACAGCATGCAACTGACCCAAACACGGAACGAAAAAACAACTCAAGGAAATAGGTTGGGTTGAAGTATTCCCAAGGGTGGAGGAGTTTACCCAAGTATTGGTAGAGGGGTCAGTAACGCTAACCTAGTGCTTAGAGGTAGGACAATAACCTGTGGGTAAGAAACCATTTCAAGACAAAGGGCAAAATACAAGATCTGCTATCTCTTTACAAAAAACTAGAACAATTGTTTAGGACAAGCTGCCTGCCAATGCGTGCCCTGTTGTGGGACGTTCCTGGATACGGATAAGGAAGTATCTCCATCTGGGTAACTATTTTCATACTTTTCCGGATGACATGACGGTCACGCAATTTGACAGTTTTAATAATTACAAGGGACCTGAATCTCGAATTAGGCCCGAATACTTTTCTGGCCAGACCGCAAATGTTAAAATAGAAACCTGTTGAATAGTAGCACAATACATATCGGTCAATTTTCCTTTGTTATAACTGATAGTTTTATTGCATCATTTTCAAGATTATTGAAACTTTGATCTTGAATGCAAACACGGCAATAAAACAGCTTTTCGGGCCCGAAAAGTTACTGGAACTTCGAGAAACAGGGCCCAGGATGGAAAAATGTCTGCGCTGCTGATGCGGCGGGATTAAGGGGCTGTGTCACGGCAGTCCAGTTCATTTTGTTTAATTTTGCCAATTACTCGCCCTCAATAACTATGGAACTTAAAGTAAGCAAAGAAATTACATGTAAATGACAAAATTAAAGGTCCGAGACAAACAAATATGTCTCCTTAGCATTATTTTTGAAGTTGAGTCGCGAGTAGCAGGGATCAACTTTGAAAAACTGTTAGGCTGAAAAGTTTTCAATAACCCTAATTTCAATCCGTTTCAATCTTCGTCAGTTTTGCCCATCCGTGGCATCTGTTGTATCTGTTGTGTTATTTTAACCTTCCTTTAATGTTTCAAGGGGTTATTTTAACGTTTCTCTTAATTTAACGGGCATTTTGTAATTACCTAATTTGGCTGAATTTCGTGCACAGCTGCTTTAAGGAACATGACCTTTCTGGTCCTCTCCGTTTGATTCGAGTTTTGATATGAGAGAGTAATCAAAGGCTCCTAGGAGCGAGCTCATAGATGAATTGAATTAGTGTAGAAAAGACAGTTCAATAGTCAAAGAAAAACATATCAATCTTTTTGGACGCTTCATTGTGCAGGGACTTGCCAAATTACAGCGTGACTTGAAGTATTCGATAGCATGTGCACATAAATATTCTAGAGCCTTGTTATCAGCGCAGCATTTCTACTTATAACGCAAAGATCACTTTAAGCAAGTATCAACGCTTGCTAGTTGTAAAATAATGAGATATGTACAGGATCGATCTTGTTAACAAAAAATTGCGAGCACATTTTTTTGATGTGACTGTCAAACACTTTCCGAACGATAGTGCACTTTCTTGTAAAATAGCTAAATTTTACATAAGCCCGAGTTTTATTTAAACCGTGGTTTTAAACAATTGTTTTAATGGACCTCGAAGATTTCCTATAAGTGCGATGCTTTTAAATCAATGTTTCCATGTGGTCTTCACAAAGACCACGTAACGGTTTGTTTTTGTAGTACGAGCTATTAATTACAGAATACAGGCGTTTATGGTTAAATTAAACTGCTTTAGAACGCGTTTTTGCTAAACACTAGCTAAACATTGTTTTAATCAAACGGACTAAGCTCGAAGCTGTACGTGCTCTGACCTAGCTAGCTAAGTAATTTAAACGCAGTCGAAGTGTGCGATTGCTTTTCTCTCCCTGAATATTCTAGAAACTTGTTTATACCAGCGCAGCATTTTCTGTACAAATTACGTTAATAGCACTGATAAAAGGAATCATCGACAAACAAAAGCCTGCTGGGCAAAGATCACCTAAGAATTCAAGCAAAATAGCGTAACGCTTGTTGGTTCTAAAACCTGTGCTTTCACACAACACAACATTAATGCTTTCCCTGTTTGCATACGAAGACAAATCGTCGAATGGATTCTTCCAATTAATTGAATAAACCACAATAGATACTCCTCAATGTCGCTTTAACAATTCGAGGACCGTTTTTTTCAGTTTGCTGCTATAAAGGCTCTTTGGCTTATTCGCTTTTCGGTGAACGAAATCCCATCGCGATCGTCAGGCTGCGATAGCTCTTTCACACTCCTGTCAATCGCTTATATCGGGAACAAATGTGCACAATTCGTCCAAATGTACAACAATGATCCACGCTCAATTATTTCAATGTCCTTTTAACAATTCCAAGTCCATTTCTTGCAGATGATATTATCAGTGTTCTTTAGAATATCTCCATTATACAAACCCCATCTCTATGATGTGTCGGGAAAAAATGTACGCTTTACCAGTACCCTCTAGAATTCGCCAGAACATATGCGTAAAAGGCACTTGGAACAAAAGAATTACTAAGTAAGGGAGGTGAGTAAAGTGTTTAATCTAGCTTTAATGAGAATCGAGTGAGTGAGTGAGTTAGTGAGTGATCGAGTACCGTTCGAGTGCCTCCAAAAGCCCATGGCATGAATACGTCATCCATGAGCTAAAAAGGTCGATATAAACGAAACTCCTTTTTAGGAACCTTAAACCGCCTGACTCTTAATCTAAAAAATAAATGTTCTGCTTCTTTTGTGCATCAAAGAGTAGCGTTACGAAGGATACTTTCGAAATAACTACATGTATATTCTTCGTTCCGTGATTTGATAAACTTAAGAATTTGCAGTTATGTTACTCAAAATACACAGAGATACAATACTCTGCCACTCCGCATATAACGAAGTGAAATGTCACTTTAATGCCAAATAATCAGTATACTTCCTCTATAATGAAAAGCATATTTAAAATCCAACTAGTGGTCTATTATCAATGCTGCGTCCTGATTGGTTGAGCCTACTACTAGGTTATATGTTATAGCCCATTAGTAGCGAAAACGCTCGCTTTTTGGCGGCAAAAGAGTTTAGCTTTAACTAGCTAAATTTGTTTTATTCTCGATATTTTTGACCAACTAGTTGGATTTTACTAAAACAATTATTTCTGTCGCCCTCATGGCCTCTGAGTCAATAGCACATTCGGCCTTCGGCCTCATGGGCTATTGACTCATCTCAGAGACCATTCGGGCTCAAGCAATAATTGTTAAATAATGAGCGCAGTTTGTTTATGTAAAATATACATATATTCCGTGTAGAAAATCGTCTATAGAATGTCTCGCGCATCGCTCAGATACTGTTCAGTATGTTTTGTCCCTGGAGTTTTGTCTCGCTTGCACGGCTTTCGAAGTTCCCTGGTGGGTGAATCTATGTTATCTCATAACTCTGGCCTGCAGAAGAAAGAGGCCAATGGAGGTAGTTTGTTTACAACTGAGAGAAATGAATTAATTCTGAACTTGTTTCAGCCAAACCGACATTCCCGCGGTGAAACACGTGTAAAGCAAAGTTGCTGACAGTATTTTCTCCTTCGTGTTAAAAGCTATCCGTGAACGCTGAGACGGATGAAACTGATGAAAATTAACTCTGCACATTAAAATAAGTCATGACGGAATTTATTGCTCCACGTGACCAATGGTCCAGAGAAATCATAGATAAGAGAGCGAGGGAAGTGCAAACTTCAGTTGGTCGAGAACACGCAGCAGAGGCTTGAGACGAACTTTGGGGATTTCCTGAGAGAGGAAAACTACTTCACTAGGACAGAAAGAAAACGAAATTTTTCTGCAAGTAGCCATCATGTTTAACGTAAGTAATCCCTGTTTCTTGCGACAGTTTGGATTTCCTTAAAGAGATTTCATGATCACTATTCTTTTCATACGAGGCTTCAAAAGGGATGAATGCGACCTACTCTAGACTAGGAATATGTTTTAATCCTAGCGGAGGAAAACATTTGGTTTCAAATGCGTACTTGTATCAAACAGTAGGCCGGATATGTCGAAAGTTCCTTTTCTACAAAGATAAGTATCTTCCACCTGAGGGACATCGCGATTGAAAAAGAAGTCATTTAGTCCCTAGTACTGGACCATTTGCAAAACAAAGTTCAAAAGCCAGGTCGTTTATTTCAGCAAAACACACCATACATAGTCCTTTAAGTTCAACGATGATCTATAGGTGTATTTTTTTCTTTACATTTTCATTTTATAGAAAACACTTGTATTTGTGACCCGAGGTTCTTGCCTTCTGCTATTTCTACTTGTATTAACAAGCTCCACTTCTGGAAATCCCTTATCCAAGAGTGAAGAGGTGGTGCCTAAAAAGGTAAGCTGTTTATTATCTTATCGAAATTCCATCCCCCTCCCCACCCATCAACCTTTGTATTTGGCTTACGCCTCCTCAGTAGTACACCTTTTGCTGTTCATTACGAGAAAATACGAAATCATTTGCGTGAAACGGCGACCAATAGTGCGAAGATACATTCATTAGCGCGAAAATACGAACATTTGCGCATAAATCAGATTCAATTAAGATTTTTGCATTTTAATCAACATTCAATAACACTTTTGGGCAATGCGTCATTGGGCATTCAAAAGAGAAAAATATACTTTCATTAACGCCAACACCAAAGTCATTAACACCATTTTGAAAGTCAATAGGGACAACTGACATACATTAAAGTGCAAACACTATTCCTAACAATTTTATGACACTGTTTGCAATTCAATAGCATTTCTGGACAACCTTAGGATGGATAAGACAGACATTAATGCGCATGTACAATTAATTGAGTGTTCTTTACATTTAATATACAAAAATCGATTTTCAATTAAACAATAGAAATTCAAACAAATTTGGCCTGAATTTCAGGCCGTTAAATGTACATCCCTCAAAAACCTCGCTATTTAAACATTTTGGGAGGGTAGGTTTGCATGGTCACGTGATGCAAATCCTGCCATCTGATTGGTTAACCCTAACCCTAACCCTAACCCTAAAGCCATAGTGACCCCCTTTACAACTCTCCTCTTTTGCGCTTTGCTCCCAAAGGAACCGATTGGCGGGCTAACCAGGATTGTAACTGAATCCCCTAAAAGGTTCTCAGTCATTGATTTCTGATATGCAGGATTTTGCTGTATCTTCAAAAAAAAAAAAGAGTCCATTAACAAGGTCTTAAATATAATGTTCATTGTCTTCACTGACCTGCACTATTAACGTCTTAATTTTCTCTTTAAATGCAGATCGTGGATTTTAATGTTCACGTTACGGAGTCGGGAGTAGAGTACAACGAGACGATTGAAGTGGATACAGAGAGGCAAACGGAGGTGTTCAAAGTTCCCGCTCACCCAGGCGTAGATCGCAGTGATGTCATGCATGATTTTAAACAAGTAGGCTGATCATCTTTTAAGTTGTTAACAGTTGTATTCAGTAATGTGGCGACCCTCCTGTTCTCTAGTGTAGCAACTGCTTTTGCTTTTAATAGTGGGGGGGGGGGCATCATTATTTCTGTCGTTTGTTATATTGCTCTCTACAAGAGTATCAAGCCATTCAAGTAAGATCTGTTTGGGTCTCACGGTGTTAGCTAGCCTCCAACAGAGATTTCTCCGGGTACTCATCCTGTTTCGCCCTCTTCCCTAAAACAGACATTTCCAAATTCCAATTCGATCGTACGTGACATGAATGGCAAATGAAAAACCACGCTAAGGTACCATTAAAAAATTTGTTGTCAAACAATCCTTCCCTCTTTTTGTCTTCCTGCGGCTCTGCTCACAACTCCCTCCTTTTTTGAAGAACTCTAGCCTTAGTTACAATGACATTATTTTCCTTATTGAACTTTCCTTGCAGAAATTAACGCTGATGCGACTTCCGGACAAAAAAATGTGTTATCTGATGCCTCTGCCAAAAGAGCTTTCCACTCCAGAGAAACTTATCAGAGATCTTGAGAGAGTCAACCAGGTAAGGCTGAACACATAACTTGCTAGTTATTCCCAACGTGATCTCGACACCGTAATTACGATTATCTTCATTTCCTATTTGGCCTCAATGACGAGTATCGTACTTTCGAGGACCCTAACCCTGACTCTACAAGAAAATATATCTCTCGCTTGTTAGAATCATTCTTTTCTTCTTTCCCTTCTTCGGCGCCATTTTCCCGAACAGCGGCTGGTAATCGAGCCTAATAATGTCCTAACGCTTCAAAGTCTCTTATTGGCTAACCACCTACCGAATCTTTCTTTGGGAAAAAATACTCCAAATTAGCCTATACTTACCTTGACCTTTCCGATGTACTTTCGAGAGGGACTTGACCCCGAGTCATTTGTCTGTGCCTCAAAAGTACGATAATCATCATTTTGAGGCCAAACAAGAAATAACGATAATCCTTATTTCGGTGTCGAGATCATGTTGTTATTCAACAAGACACCCAGGCTCTCAGCCAAATTATGGGAATTTCAAGTGAGATAGAACTGTTAAAATGAACATAAGCAGTCATTTTAGTGTACATACCTCATAAAAAGGCTGTCTCTCTGTTTTTTTTCTTACTATTTCCAGTCCTGCGCATCGATTGGTGTTCAAATGGCGTTTGTAGGGCAGGCCGGAAACGGTAAAAAAAAAAACAACACAGCAACACTTTAATGACCATTTATATGCATTTTACTCACTGCAAGTCCTTTCAAATCCCATGGATAATAATTGTTTGGTTCCGTGCCCAGAGATCATTGGAAACCATCTGCAACGATTTGTTGGCTCCCTGAAAATTAATGGGAAACCATTTTTATTTCTTTTGGGCCATCCCAATAAAATGTTTCGTTTCCCATCGCCCCGTCTCTTGTGATGGTGGTTCGGTCGGTTGGGCAAAAAAAAAAAATGAACACTTGAAGAGGTATTCATTCATTCATTCAGGGGTATACATTCTTTAGAATTAAAGGACATCAGTGTGTACTATTATTTACAAAAAACTTCAATGTCGATTAAAATGCCAGAAAAAGGTCAATTTGTCTAAATGTTTTTAAACTTTTGGAGTCACACATTTTTTCATACATTTTTTTTCTTGGCACTGGAAGCCATAACAAACGCTGTTCAACTGTTAACTGATCTTAAGGTCTCGGTAAAGGAAAACGAGGTGCCCACAGAAAAAAATTCTAGTCGCGCAAGTATTGTCGCTACATAGACAAGTTATATATCAAATTAAAGCTAAAAGACTAAATTACCTTATAAAAGATTCTTTTTCATCGAATTTCAAAAGGCGCTTAAGTTTTTTGCTCTCAAACTCAGAGGTATCAAGTTTACTGCTGAAGCTCCAGCCCTTTCGCGTTGTTAAATATTCACTTCCTTTTTATTGCATCTGATTGACAGATAAAAGACCTAAAAAAGGGTGTGAGGAAATTTGCATATGTTTCGTATTAGCGGAATTATTGCATTTCAAACTAAAAAGTCGAATCTCGAGCGCGATTTACGCAAAGAAACTGACATAAAATGAGTTACAAAGGGAAATCGGAAAATTCCTCACACACTTTTTGAGTCTATATCATTATCCATCATATCTGAAAGTTTCAAAGCGATAGCTTAAAACCTGTCCCGACTGGAGGTCGGAGAATTTTGATTTTTGCGCCTAAAATAGAGTGAGAGAAAATCAGCTCTAAAGATTTAGCGCGAGGTCCACGCTTGGCTGGTAAGCTCAGAAAAGGCTCATTTTAGAAGGGTTAAAAAGCACTTTCTGGTTTTCTTTTTCTGCCAAAATAAAATATAGGACCCACTCATGCCCAAAATAAAAAAAAAACAAAATCGAGCAATGTACTAAAATTTTCATTTACCGAGACCTTAACTGTAAAACATCTTTCATGCGTGAGTCACCAGTAACGTGCAATGCACTTTGAGAACGATTCAAGGTGGTGGACGACAGAAAAACGGTAACGTTGTTTAAAATTTCGTATATACACAAGATGAGTCATAAAGAATTGCTCTACTGTGGTTAAGAATCCGAGTGGAAAAATACTATATATGTTTATTTTGATCCCTCAGTCTGAATATATTAAAATATGTCACTAACAAACTATTTTTCGGTTCCGCTATTTTAAGATCACGGTAACGACACGGTACCGGAAACAATTGTTACCGTGAAATCCTAGGGCCGCTTGTTTTAGCCGTTTTATCGATGTTATGATTAATTTCTATACAAATCCTTATAATTTGGCTCCCAGTGGGCTGATGCGAGTTTGGGCTCACAGTGGTATCCGTAACACTTTATGAAATCGTGTTTGTCGATTAAGCTTGAAAGATTAGCTTTCTCAAAGTTTCACACAATTCAAAAGTGGCATTAAAAACAAGAAACGACGACATGGTCATCTCGTGCTCTTAAGGTGAAATAACTCAAATCCTTGACCGCATTTTGTTCATTGAAATCAATTTCCATCATCTCACTCATAAACGAATGTCTAATCATAAAACTTTTTGCCCTAATTTGTTAACACAATTGGACTATAATTTGCAGGTTATAGATAACAAGGCCGGAACTTTCATTATCGATGGTAGTTATAGTATGCTCTACCATTTCAAAGTTGGGCGTAGCTTAATTCTATAAAGTAACTGATCCCTGTGGCATGAAGACTGAGAAAGTCACACTGCAATGAAAAAAGGAAATAAACAAACAACAAAAAAGAACATCAACAACAACAACTTGTTGGTTAAATTTATTTGCCCGATATTTTGGACTTTTGCCACCGTTTTATCCCAATGAAATGGCTCCACAGGAATCAAACAACTAAACAGAAAATTCGAGCCAAAGCGGGAGTTCCAATTGTTAGCTCTTTCCCGTCACGTCCAAGGCACTTCCAGGCCTGCCATAAGGATACATTTACGGTCTTTTTCACTTAACAATCACTGATCCAGGTCTACACAAGTTCGAGCACTCCCACGGGTCTTGCATTTATGAGATATTTCATAGCTTTCATGTACACTTTGCAACTCTTTATTCCACTAGGCTGTTATCAATGATACCAAACGCATTGACAGCACATGGATTTTGACAGGAGAACTAACTGAAAGGTCATCTCTCAGTGATGATTTACAGCAGTTTTGCAATGACTTTCCGATATACCTTATGAAAAAGACGCAAAACTCCTTGGCTGTCACAGGAATACAGGAAGCAGGTAAAAATCTTCGCTTGCCGGTTAGTGTGGCCAAGAGAGGATAAAGCCTGGGTACTACTCCCTATAATGGCCAATATGGGGAGGCTCCGTCCAAAATGGCTACCTTTTAAACTTTTCAGGCTTCAAGTATTATATGAAAGGGAAGGGATTTTCATCAGTTGAATTATATAAAAGAGTATGAGAATCTGTCATTTCGGTCTGCAGGACCGAATAGAACTAAGAGACGGATTTTATTGATAGGAAAGAGACAAGACACCTTTCTCTTTTTGTGATTTCTTCAAATTAAAAAGACGGAGCATTTAAAGCATCTGAAAGAGACAGTAAAGGGATGCAATGTTTTAAGCTAGGTATGTGAAAGGGTATCATTTGTCAATAGAAGGTATACGAAAAGGGTATCTTTTCTGTCTAAAATGGTGTATAAAAGGGTAAGGGATTAACCTCGGGGGGGGGAAACAAGTTCAGTTTACGATCGATAATATATAGTGATCACTAGAGGAAAAATGCTGTGATCATTTAACAAATACTCTCAACTAACTTTTCAGAGAAATTTTATAAAGGCCGTCTGTGGAGAATTTATCTGTGGGTATTGGGGCTTCGAGGGTTAAGAAAAAATTCCAGTTAGTATGTGGTAAGATACTGAGAAACGAATGGCAAAATGCAAAAGTTTGAAGCTGTTGAATAGAATATAAAAAAAATGTCTTATTTCGCAGAGACTAAAACCCGTTTTCGAAGACAGACAGTCCATGGCAAAAGCATCTGTCCAGGTGGAACGACCTACCGGAAGTCTTCCTGTTTTGCACCTCTGCTTAAGTGCAGACAAGCAACCCGATCATGTTACAAGTGGGCGTCATGTAAAGATCACCCTTATATCGAGCATCCTAACAACGGGAATACAGGCGGAAGTAGCTGGATCTCCTTTAGAATATTAGCCGATGGCTGCAAGGAATTTCACGAATTTGTAATATCCAGCGGTTGCTGTGGCTACTACTGCTGAAACACTAATCTGCCATTTATCTTGGCAGACTGACGAAAATTTTACCTTTCTAAATTCGGTTCAAATTATTAGTTTTAAGTTTGGTACGCTATTAAAAAGATACGACGATAGGCTACGTCCACATGAATCTGTCTAAATTTGTCACGCAAACAAACTTTCCGGGGCCTGAGACGGGTATGCTCGTCGGAAAATTAAAATCCAAGCAATAAAGGAGTCCAATCTAGCTGGGGCTTAGCCTTAATCTTACCCCTTCAGGATACCAGACTCAACTTATTATCACAACAGTTGTTCCTTACATATAGATACTCTTTTACGCACAACCCTAAGAGATCCCTGGATAAAAATTGAGAACTTCAAACCCTAAGCGAGTCCCCTTTCCCCCGCCCTTCCCCCCTCCCCCACAGGTGTTTACTTTGGATAGATAGATCTACTATGACAACTTAAAGGCCTGCTTCTGTAAGATAAAAACAATTAGAGTGTACGCGGATTTCCAAGCGAGAATGACGATTTATCCGTTTGCACTGCGTTTAAAAACTTTTCCCCTCTGGAAATTGTTTTAGGGTTTTTGGACGAGAGCCGTAAAAGCATAAGTTTTTTCTTGATTTTTCTGCTTTTACAAACTTAAACGGATTCGATTACTAAAATTCGCATATTAGCTTAACATTTCAAGAAAGTCATTTACTACTTGGGAAAAAAATCAGTTTGAAGTATATAGATTTCAAAACCGACTGCCAGAGTCACATGACATAAAACGGGGTTAAGCTTATACAGCAGATACGGAGCCAAGAGAGCGTTGCTTTTTGTAGCATTGTACCATGTAACACGTAATGTAT